CATAACTTTGCTGTATAAGGTCAATAGTGGAACAGCACCTTCTTTAAGAACTCAAGGATTTTCATCTCAGACTTTTCCACTACAACAGGAGAGAACATTCTGAGTCTTAGAGTTTGCATTAACTAAATCACTTTGAACAACAAGTTAACATGGCACTTTTTTCATAATTAGTATATCAATGTAGTAAGACAAAGCTAACGAAGAAAGCAGATTGCATAAACCTTGATGTACATAATTTTATAGTGGAAAGAAGTTTTTCATAGTGCTGTTCTGTGCAGGGTCACTCCATCTGTTTGCTCTTACAAACACACGCAAGAAAATACACAGAAACAGAACCACACTCCTCCAACCCTTCACAGATATCCGTCAACCCTGTGCTGGTTTAGACCTCAGCATGACCCCGACACGCCATTTGTCCTACTAGCTATCGGAACTCATCATTTACACATTTCATCACACACTCCACTACGAGCAGATCGGTCAGAAAAGAGCAGCATTTCACAATTCGCCAGATGTTTTTCTTTCAGAATGTTTAGCTGTAGTAATTTGAGTGTCTTTGCTTGTAATTGGGATTTTGTCCTCCCAAAATATAAATAAATTGAAATAAATCTTAATGTGGTTAAAGCTAATATGAAGCTAGACTTAATAAATTAACTAAATGAAAACTCAATTGACTGTGTGCACCTATTAACACAGGGGAAAAAAGCTGAGGAAATATCCTGGAGAATTGAGGATTGTCGTGAATGGTTTTCAATTCTCTAGACAGATAAGAAATGTCATGCCCATTCAAACTGGACACAAGCCCTGTCACATTTTTAAAGCCAAGTAGATTTTAAATTCAACTTATCTGTAAAAATAACAACTGCACAATTATTTAGGGTTTTATATACATTTATGTGTTAATCCAATTTAAAAGAACTGTTTTTAAACAGTTTTTCATCATTGCTCTAGTCATCAGTGTCACATGATCCTTCAGAAATCATTCTAATATGCTGATATGCTGCTCAAGAAACATTTCTGATTATTATCAATGATGCAAACAGTTGTGCTGCTTCATATTTTGGTGCAAATCTTGATACATTTTTCCAAGATTCAATGATAAATCGAATAAGTCTAAAAGAACAGAATTTAGGCTATTTAATAGAGCCCAACCGATATATCGTTTTGCCGATATTATCGGCCGATATGAGCCTGTCGCCGATATATCGGTATCGGCGAATATGCCGCCAATATGCTGCCGATATGACATTTTTTTTTACAGAGCATATAACGCAGATAAAATGCTTGGAATTATGTAATTACTTAGTTTGTCCAGCAGAGCGCACTCTATTGTTTGCTACTGCAGACCTGAATGAAACAAACGTACACGTTACATTCAAAGCGCATTAAAGTGCGTGAGAAGTGAATTTATATTTAGGGATGCATCGAAGTTCGTCAACCGCAGTGTGGAAGCATTTAAACTGTCGGAGAAAGACGCAAAAATCATTACAAGCACCGACAGCGAGAGACTGTTTAGGACTGCATCGCGTGTCTTCAATGAGAAGAGGAAGGGGGGATTGTTGCTGGTTACTGTATGATGATTGAAATCGCGAAATGGCCATAAACAGTTAGTAAATAAACTGCAGAACGTTATGTTTTCTAATACACGCGCGCATCGCATGTATTCTGACAGCGCTGCACGAACTCACAGCAGATCTGCTTGTTAACCAGGGTTCAAAGTCCAAAGCGCGAGGAAAATCTGCGCTGATACAGTCGTCCTGTTCAGTGCACTGATGTCAGACTCATTTTGGATAATAAAGTGTATTGTTAAATTGTTAAATGCCCTGCCTCCATTACGTATCTCTGTCACGTCATTGTAAGTGTTTGATCACCACATTTGAGTGATCATTGCAAAAAATGTGTTTATGTATATATATTCTGTTTATGTATATACTGTATTCTATATATAGTACCAGTCAAATGTTTGGACACACGAATGGGAAAGTGTCCAAACTTTTGACTGGTATTGTACTATAATATACACAAAGAATATCGGCCGATATATTGATATTGATTTTTTTTACTCCCTAATATCGGTATCGGCCCCAAAAAACCCATATTGGTCGGGCTCTACTATTTAAAATATAATTTTTGTAACAATGTAAATTAAAGCACTTTTTGTCAATTTAATGCATCTATGCTTGCTGAAAGTATTAATTTCTTTAAAAAAAAAAGTACAGACTCCAAACACCAAACAGTAGTATATGTATTTATAAGATTTAGAAACTAGATCACCTTGCACACTAAATCAAACCTACAATAACATATCTTACACGTATTATCATTTCTAGTTCTACTGCCCCTGTAAAAACGGTGGTGCATAATGCCCTTGAGATGAATATTTTACAGAACAATGCAATGAGATGTCTATCGCATTCACAGCTGCTCTAATAAGGATGAGAAATTTGGACAAACACTAAGAATTGAGACTTGATACACATACAATTGCTCCCATAGAGTTTGTGTTGGTTTCATTTTCCAAGCCATGTCTGCAGCTGCTACAAACCAGAAGAACAGACGAATGGAGAGATGAGCGAACGGTCAGACAGGGGTGACGGACTCTAAGCTTGTGCCAACTCCAATCCCCTGCCAGACACTGCAAAAGACACCTACAACATGCCAATATTAATCATTACCAAGCCAAAAACATACACCAAAAAACCTTGCTCGCTAATCTAAGTGCTCCAAAGTTGCGCTACACTTGCGATCAGAAGCCGAAAAAACTAATATTTGTGATAAGCTAAACATGTTGCAAGAGAGGTTTCACCATGATCATACGCTGCTGGAACGAACCAAGAGTGATCACAGTGTTGTAAATGCACATTCCTCAACCTTTACATGTGCGATCACAACACTGTGATCACTCTTGGTTCGTCCCAGCAGCGTACGATCATTCAAATCTGCGTTCGTGCTGCCGCTGACTTAAAGAGAGCATCTGTCATGTTAGGGCTAGGCATGGGCCGATTACCAGTTTCAAGGTATACCGCGATTTTAAAATGTCACAGTTTCAAAACAACTAATATTTTCCGTTATACTGTTCCTGCGGTATGCGCGGTTTTTCATGTCTCCTCAAAGACTGAAAGTGTAGGAATCCCTCAGGTTGAGTGCAGTGTAGGGAGTAACATGACCCTCCTCCTCCTGTTGGTGCGAGCGAGCGGTCAGTCACGTGTGTGTAGGATGGCTTGCGGCCACAATGCTTGTGTTTATTCCAGAATCCAGCCGCGCGATGCACGTTTCTGAAGCGGCTCTCCGTGCTGCTTCTGTAAAGATACACGCATACGCCTCCTTTGAATAAATATAGCCAAAATCCGTCAAAATCCGTTGCCATGACTTATCGCCAGAGGCAAAAGTTTACGTTTTAGTCGCATAACATTGGTTAATTGAAACGACGTCATTTCGCAATACTTTTTTATCGACATTTATAAAATATTGCCAAAGTTTTGCGCAAATCTGTAATGGAAACGCGCCTATTGTTCATGATGCACGAACTATTGGAAGAAAATCCTCAATATTGATTTGGGGGTTTATATGAATGTTTCTGAGGGGAACTGACTGTCTTCAGAAAAGTTTACGTGGTATTTTCTTTTCATCTCGTCTGTATAGTTCATATGAAAGCAGTGTTTCAGCAGTGCTGCTTTGTTTACGGCGGTAACCAAGGAAACGCCATATCTGGTGTTCCATGTGCGCCTCCTGCTGTCAGAGAGTGAATCTGCGTCTCATTCAGAGCTTCTGCAGTTTGCTTCGTTCAGGCATGTAGTATAATTTCACAAAGCTAGTCAGAACAGAACATTCTGTTTTTGCTTCAAATTGGGTTATTATTAAATCAAATTATATATATGAAATTATATTAATAAATGTTATGTATATGAATTATATAACAAAAATTAAATAACTGTAATTACAGATTTAGGTTAAATAAAGATGTCAGTCTTTATTTTTCTTCTTTTTAGGAAACAAATCAAAGAAAAAATAAACAAATTCTACT